TGGTTGAAATTCTAGCTGCTATCGTTTGGTTGAGCGGGATTGATGGAATTCGAAGAAAGTTTTTCCTCGAAAAAGTTGTGTGTGTTGTGTCCTACTCAAAGTCGACTAGTGGAACGTCAACGATATCATGCTGTAAACATGTTAGAATGGATGAGCCTCTTTCTAGGATATAAATAAATGGTGCTTGACGGCGTGAGACTTGAACTATTTTTGGACAGGTACGGTTCGTACAACGAAGGGGATAGTAGTATTTTCCGGGCTCCTTAGGAGCTTGTTCAATTGGCAAGTTCTGTACCTCAAAAGTGGGAGAGGGGTCTAGACCTTGCACTCGAGTTGAAGTGATAATCGGGAACTGTCGAGTGTTTGGTGAGTAAATCCCATCGGCCGCTTTACACCATTTTATGAAGAGTGCTACTGAAAGGGTTTACTTCACTTCGCTCTATGATGCAGCTGATTTGGTAGAACGTCCGGTATTAAGAGATGTGCTTTGTAAGTAAACCTTCTCCATACATTTCGCTTGCAATTCATGTTATGTTTCCTTTCTCCTTAGTATCTAGAGACCATTCATTTTGCAGATAGCTCTTGAGACTTGACCAATTACATCGATTATTCTTGCTTTTTAATTTCACCAGAGAAAGTACCTCCATCTCTGTGTCACTTGTAGAAAGTCAAACGGTGATTTTGGGACAGTGTGCAACGAAATACAGTCATTTGCGAATTGAGCTGAATTCGCAGCGGACAGTTCTAGAAATTTGCGAGGTGAATGAGTCCGACCACTGGTAAATAGGCAACTACCTCGGGCTTTGGAAGACTGTCAAGAAAGTCATTCAAGCATAGAGGTACAAGCTTCACGAAGTGGACTCATGTATAGCAGAATATAACTTCATTCATGTATTTCCATTCTACAATAAGCAATTGTGATAGAATAGCTGTTACCGGGAACAAAGTTCCGATGTACTTCATTCATCCAGCGTTGCAAATGAGTTGAGTTGAGTTGAGTTGAGTAGTGGCACCTACTCAACTCAACTCGCTAAGAACAAGTACTCAAGTTAAGTTAAGTACTGCTTGAGTAGTGTGAAGTGGGTTGGACCGAGCGTCCGGCGGCCGGTCCAACTGAGCGGATTTAGCTACCCCTCCTATACATAGTATACGACGTAAGGAATAGATCAGATCATATATAGAGCACAGTCAGTATCCGGCGACAAGTACTTATTGAACAGGAATAGAATCTTTACATAGAACCTTAAGGTAATTATAAGCTTAAAAAGCTGGGGGGCTTTTGCAAAGAAGGAAGAGGATATAGTACTAAGAGACGTCGCATTTGTGGACAATCATTTGGTACTTTAGGTACTATCCATAGTGAACAAGTCGAGTTCTATTCCGGTAGTCAAATCCACTACTCATACCTAACCAACTTAACTTGTAGTGACTCTGAGTAGTACACAAGCTCAAGTAGTTTGTTACAACGCGGCATTCATCCCATCAACTCGGACTTGGCTTTAACTTGGAGCATGATTCATAGAATGATTCATAGCGACTCCTCAATTTGCTAGAATCTATTTAAGCTTCCTTTCTCCACGCCAATAGGCACAAGTTGTATTCTTCTCAAGCACATACAATAACAGGCGATGGCTGACACTTCGTTGTTCAACTCGACCATTTCTCAGAAATGGAGCTTCGCGGGATCAACCCCTTTGGCACCTCAGATTGCGACTAAGTTACTTGAGAGCTTTATACCAGGTTATTCAACCGTCCATGCGTTCATTCTGGAAGTCTTCCATTTCGACACCAGCGTCCTAGTCACAGCCGCTGCTTGTGTCCTCCTAGCTTTCAGAATTGGGAGATACTTCTGGAACTTCATAACTGATTTGTTATGGAATTATTGGACTTCTCATGTGGTACTCAATTCCAAGGACGATGCCTGGACCCATGTAGTATTCTTTCTCGACCACCGGAATTACACAGGCCGGTCCCGATCTCTCACAATGAAGACGAAATGTAATTATGATTCTTCGGATGCCCTTTCCCACTTGGAATTCAATGGCCAATGGCTGAACTTTTCAAATCAAAGTTCTATGCGGAAACCTGTCTATTCACTTGGGCGAGGAACGCATTGGTTTCGTATTAATGGGAATTATTTCCGGTTCTCCCGCGATGTAGACAGAAATCATTGGAGTGGGTCAAGGGACATGATTTATGTTACCTGTTACGGGCGATCAACTGAACCAATAAAGAAGCTGATTGTAGAGGCAAAGCTTGTTTTCTACAAGGAAAAGAAATTCAACAACAAGAAAACAAGCATTTATCGACCCAAGTTGAGTTATTGGTATAACCAATGGGGTTTTGCCAATTCGCGTCATCGCAGGCCAATTGATACTATCGTACTTGACCAGGACATCAAGCAGCAGATTCTAGCAGATATTAATGATTATTTGCATCCAGTCACGGAACGTTGGTGTAAGTAGCTATTTGCCATTTTCAATTTGGTTTCCAAATGTTTATTTCAAGCTGGATAAGTACTGACGGTGCCCAGATTCAAATAGTGGCATACCTTATCGTAGAGGATTTGAGTGTTCCCGATATCAAGAGTTTGAAGTCTTCTAACGTTAGTCGATAGACCTTTTCTACGGGCCACCCGGGACCGGAAAATCGTCAATTTGCTTTGCCTTGGCTGGGATATTTGGATTGGATGTCTATGTCATGTCACTTTTGAAGAAGGGAATGAATGAAGAAGAATTGGGAAAGCTTTTCACATCTCTTCCGACGCGATGCATCGTACTCCTCGAGGATATTGATGCTGCCGACTTAAGTAATAGAAAATTTCCCGAGGAAGAGTCGGAAGAAAAGTCCACTGAGAAAGCGGAGGACAAATCCAAGAAATCGAGGGATGAAAAGAAGAAAGAAGAATCTGGTATTTCTTTGTCCGCGTTACTCAATGCTATTGATGGTGAGTTTCACAAACCTTAGCAACTACCAGTAACTGATGACTTGAGTAGGAGTTGCATCGCAAGAAGGACGTGTGTTAATTATGACAACAAATAAACCGGAAAGTCTTGACAAAGCCTTGACCCGTCCCGGACGAGTTGATATGCAAATGGGTTTTCAGAACGCGAGCCAGCAACAAGCAAGGGAAATCTTCGAGCGGATGTACATTGCTGACGACGCTTCTACTTCTACAAAACAAGTATCTTCCCCTCCCACCGAAAACCCCAAATCCACGGATAATCCGCAAGGAAATGTTTTCCCGACTCCAGATGAAGTAAAGTCTCTGGCCCAAGATTTTGCCACCAGGGTGCCGGATCGATTGTTTAGTCCTGCGGAATTGCAGGGATTTTCGGTCAAGCGGAAGAAGGAGCCTAAGAAAGCGTTGGGGGATGTCCAGAGTTGGGTTGAAGAGACGCAAGAACAGAAGAAGAAGGGTGGGAAGAAGGGTGAGAAGAAGGATGAGAAGAAGACGAGAAGCAAAATTAGAAGCAAGATGCGAAGTAGGATAGCAAGCATGATGAGAAGAAATTCTGAGAGCACACCGGTGGAGAATACACCGGTCGTAGAAAGTAACAATTAGACATGTACGATAGATAGAAATAAAAGGCGTTATTGTTTTTGTTGCAGTCAACTAAATGCGCTCATTTCCTTTGTCCGCCCTGCTCTGTATCAAATTTTCGTAAATATTCTTTCATGAACCCTTTAAAAAGAATTCGCATCATGAGTAACTACGTCACTATACTAAATTCTTCATCCAAACCAGTACCCCAATAACTGAAGAACTTCCCTGAGGATTTCGTCTAGTCTAGAAAGAAAAATAGCAAAAGCGGCATAAAACTTATAGCCTTCATCGTCAAACCTGAGTGAAAAACTGGAAATTCTCTTCCGGTGGGTCATCTTAAGCCTAGATGATCATTTTCGTGTGAATCGAGATCCTGAGTATATAATCAATTGCGTTAAAAATTTTGTATTGCAGCGAGACTTGTCAAACTTTGACTTGCTTCGATACTATATACACGTAAAATGGTTGAGCTACAGTGGCTGGAAAGAATGTCACATCGCCCCCTTTGACATCCCAGTTAGAGGTGAGTCAAGTGACTCATTCGTGTCCAATTCTAAGCTAGCGTTTTCAGATGGAGAAGAGAGTTTACTCCAGCTCAATTCACAAGAATTAGATTTCCACGTTCAATTTAAAAAGTTTATTTTCTCGATAATCATGTTTGCCTTGTTCCTTATCACGCCCTAATGCTCGACACTTTCTCAACACATTCACAGCTTGTACACCTCGCTAATATACCTGCACCACTGCACGAGCCTGCGCTCCAAGCGAAAACACGTGATCGAGTAATAAAAAGTTCACTGATACCACCTAGGCATCCCAGTGGGAGCAGAAAAGTCGATACCTTATGTACTCCTAGTCGATAACTTATCTACACCCGGTCGATACTATATCGACAACCTAAAAAAAATAAAGCTATCTATGATTTTCGCTTACCCTCCTAGTAGGTAGGAGCAGGTGTAGATAAGGTATCTATAACCGGTTGTAAGTAAGGTATCGACAATTGTCGATAGGGTATCTATAACCGATTATATAGAGGAAGTTTTCTTTTAAAAAATAATTTTCTTATAAAAGGGTCTGTTAGTCTCTAATAGTCGTCTATTTATCCCTATAGCGTTCTCTATAAGACCTTTTTTTATTATATATAGGACAAGTTTTCTTGATTTCGCTAAGTAAATTTATTAATCCCTTGATTTTGCTAAGTACTTTTACCGGTCCGGTAGCTAGGAATAGACTTCTATTATAGTTTTAGGTACGTAGATCCTACTACGTACGTACTTCCGAGTACTACCGAGTACCGCCTATATATTACTACCCTTCCCCCGCCCTCTCTTGCTCCTATTGTCCCTACCTATAATTGTACTTGGTCGCTTTGTGTTTACTCCCTCCCGTCCCTACCTACGAGTGTACTTAGTCGTTCCGACTATCCCTACGTATGAGTGTACTTGGTCGTTTTTTGCCCCCCCTCCTATCCCTACCTATAAGTATACTTCTTCGTTTTTTTATCCCTACCTATAACCTCTATATATACTTAATTTAGGTGAGCGATTTGTGCCGTAAAAGTGTAGAAATAAGTGTAAAAATAAGTGTAGAAATAAGTATAAAATTACATAGAAAAGAGTTGTAATTTATTAACAACTTTAGACATTTTAGTAACTATTTATTAACAACCGTTTATAGATAAGGTATCGACAATTATCGATAGGGTATCTAAAACCGAGCGTATACAAAAATGTATATAAGGTATCGACAACCGGTTGTCGATACCTTATCTACGCCCGCTCCTACTGGGCATGTAAGTAAAGGAAATATTCAGCAATATAGTTCTGCTTCAACCGATGTCTTGTCTCAAGTATCTGGTGGATTACGTGAGAGTAGCATTCGCGATATTCAAGTTTCCAGTTCCAGTGCCTCATTCAGATTATGGGTTCAAATATTTGAAGTTGTAGACGATTCCTCCTTCGCTCTCTTGTGGTTGTCAACCTTGACTTTGTTAGCCTCAGCCTTTTTGTCTTGGTCCCGTCTCCGATCTTCGGCTTTTACTTTCTCTTCTGTAACGCATGTCAATTTTGATCGAATGAATATGTGTCGATTTCCTACCTTTCTTCTCCTTCCGTAGAATATGTTTTGATCCCGCAAACCCAGCGACACTCAAAATTCCATGTTCCTCTATTTCTTGAGCTCCGAGAATAAGATCCCACGGGAGTGAGACTCGGTCGATGACTTGAAAAGTCGTCGTAAAGATCTTACGAAAGCTCTTGCCTTTCCAACGCAGCACGAGTACGTGTACCAATAGAAGACAGTGGCTCGCCGTTGAGGCAGGTAGCAATATATGCGGTTCGTGGATTCATTTCGTTGGTAAGTTGAAGAGCACAAACAGCATCCCATGTGATGAGATTGTGGACTTCGAAGCCGGTGTCTAGCATCATCTTGAGCTCGAAGTACCTGTCGAGATTTGGATTCCATATTTTGACGGTTTTCAAAAACGGGGCGGACATTTCCTAGACTCATCAGATCACACAACGTGTGATTCAAAAACACATATTTCACTAACCTTGTTCCTGAAATTCCTCCTTATTTGTTTCCAAAGCACCGAAGTAATTCGGGCGATTCGCTGAGGAAGTAGATTGCCATACTTTCACATTACTCTTGTTGTTGCGCGATTACGTTTGAATACTTGAAAGAGGATGGAAAGGCGTGTATGAAATGTAATTGGAATTGGTGTTAGACATTGAATCTCCCCTGGTAGCAATAACATACCTTTATATGAGAATTATGTACAACCAAAGGCCTAGTAAGATTCTGGAGATGTTCATACATTTCAAGACAGGAACTGCAAATGGTTCGAATAACAAAGATTCTGGAATCGGACCAATCACAGAAAGATTTCTATCTTGTAGGCTTCGTCGAGCTTCCCATGAGAGCCCGATGCCCATGCCAGATTTTGGCCTCTCTAGGCATAGCTTTCCCAAATCTCATGAAACCGGCCACTTATGACGTTGACTTATCCCACAAAACTAGTGTATACAGTAGCCGTAAATGCTGCCTATGAATTTGATATATGTGAACCTGGTGGCTTCAAATGTGGCTACAATGTGAACAGTGCTCTGACGCGAAATCCAGAAATCCCAAGATACGAGCCGTATTTAAGATTTTGGACATAGCGTATACCAATTGAAAAAGAATAAACCCATGCAATATTTTGGAGGATGGTCTTTCGCACTTAGTACATTGGCCCTACTCACGTGTAGGGGATAATTAAGTGGAGCATATCAGTTCCGCCTATGTAACCGAGATCTCGTCACATCCTGCAGCAAGATTATGGCAGCAGCCAATCAAAGCCAAGTTGCCGGAGGCCAATCTGGGCTATTTGCAGTCTCGAAACTCACGGCTTCGTCCAGCCATACCCTAAATAAGAGACGTCCCCATAATCATTCCTATTACAAGAGTCATTTGTGTTGTAAATAAAAAATTCCACTCAGCTCCCGTTCATTCGATTGTCGACAAGGTTTTTGATTACCATGACGTCGGAATTAAAACAAAACACCTAGTTTTGAAGGAAAGAATTCCGCAAAACTCATTCCAAAAAAAAAACATTCTGAGCCCAGATATAGCGCTCTGAAAGGAGGTTGAAAAAGCTTCCCAAATTCCTGGAGATTGTACGCATTTTCATCGCCTCAGCCTTTCGAATACAAGAGTAGAATCATTTGAAAGCGAGGACCAGAAAATGTAGTAAGAGAAGAAGAGATTAGATTAAATGATTCTAAGGTACAGATCAACCTATTTAACTACTTATTCTATTTAGCAAAAATTAGCATAAGAAGTCTGGCTTGATCACAGAGAGCTTCTGTGCCATAAATTCTTCTCGAGTTGAAAGTTTATTTCCACGATCCAATAATAGCTCAAGTACGCCATGAGATCTACTTGGATATGCTTATCTTAAGATGCTAGATGGGAGTTATCTCACCGCCCCAATTTATTCCTACGACCCCTTGACAACACAAGGGGGAAGGCACGTTTCTACCACGTGGCAGAAGTAATGGCTTGGATTATCTCAGTAGTGATCGACGGTATACTTGCACTGTGCTTTCTTGCTAGTGTAGAGTCTTTTCCGGAAATCGCGCCCTTTTCCTCCGCTCCTTCTGCGAATAATCTAGTGTTCCACTGCTTTCATCTCTCTGGGCCTCTTCTGTATATTGAATGAAACTTGAATAAGATACCGCAGGAGTATGGCTGATGCGTTCCTCCTTACGCCAGCCACAACAGCCGCGACCAGATGAACGGGTGTCCCGAGTACATGCATTCGGGTTCCAGGGTTTTCAATACAAGCATATCAGGATGACCAGGGTTGCTTTGCGATTTAGGCTATACTCTGGGGTAAACGTTCCATGTAAAAATGTTAAGAAAGTACATATGGCGTGCGAGAAAGCTTACATGATACGGTATAGGCATTTTTCTGTTCTCTATTTGTGGAATACTGTTGCGCGGCAAGGCACAAACCCGAAGAAATGAGCGTGTGGTACAAAAATGGATATTAAACCTAAAAAGGAACTTGATGCTGACCAGCGTTGCAGAAAGGCGGTCGTCAAATTGGAACATGGATGAGTCTATTGCTTACTCAGTTGCAGGAGGGGCAAAATGGGGCTGAAGGAACGGATTTACCTACCATTGGCGGAATATTTGTTTTTCCGAGGACTAGTTCTCGTTTTTTTCATCCTTAGAACAATCTGAGCAGCAATTGCCACAACCTTATTTTTGGCACGAAATATGATTGGTGCTCAGTTTCACTCCCAAGTTTGTGTGCGACCGACAGAATTTGGACCCAAATGAAACGCAAAGCCCTTCAGGTGGCAGACAAAAATACTTTCCCACTTCTCTGTATGCTTACGATTCGTACTAGGTGGTACAACGTTTGCTTCCTGATTCTGAATCCTATAGTATTACTCTTGCATCGGTTCTGAGTCATCCAATCTACTAGGATCCGTTTCTCATCTCATATACATTGGCTCGTCATACAAGCTGACCTGCGGAGAGCCCAGAACATGAACATGCATCCATCAATATGGCATTCAGAAGATGGATCTTTGGTAAGAGATTGGGCCACTCACATAAGCTACCGATCGTGTGCCAACGCGAGATCTGGGGGCCAGGAAAATCTAATCTAGAAGGAAGCCATAAGCACCAAAAGCATGTCATAATGCCTGTAAGCCATGTGGAAGTTAAAGATGCGTCAGTTCCTACTAAGCGACTTTTCCCTTGCGTATAATTTCAATCGTTCGTTGAGATAAAATCCCTTGGCAGTATCGTTACTTGCATCTCGATAATTCTCTAAATTCTTTCACGCTTCCAAATGTCTACCAAGTACCCAGTTGGCTCTACGCCTATTGCTATATTCAACGAAGAGGCCAAAAAGGGAAAGTCAGGTCTGCCCTTACGGAAAAGCTGTCAATTTTGTCGCTCGAGGAAAATCCGTTGTTCTGGTCACAGCATCTGTAACGCCTGTCGAGAAAGAAATATCGAATGTTCCTATGGGGCTTGTGGGCAAAAGGGTCGCACTCGAGGTCCAACTAGACCTCCTAGTCAGGAGAACTTTCGTCTCAACTCAAGAACTCCAACACCATCTCTAGATACCTTCAATTCGAGACGAAACTCAGAAGGACAAATGTTAGGGCAGTTTCATGATTCTAAGATAGACATTTTGACCCCATCCGTGGCTGTTAGATTGGAGGATATGTTCATCCGCTTAATGGGTTATGCCTCAGAAGGGAGATCGAATCACGCCGACCAACTTCTGGATCGTTTGTCAGAACGAATCTCAACTAGCAATATGCCCCATATCTCCGCACAAAATCATCCCCCGAAGCCTCTTTCATACGATACCGTTTTCTCCACCTTTGCTCCAGATCTTATAGAAATCGTTTCTTCTCGATTCCACCACTTTGACTACCATGGACTTGACCTATCCCGCAGCCGGTATTTTGCTAGAACGTTTCTGACAGACACATCTACGACTATGTTCAAGGATGGCTTTACCACCAGTGATATTTAGCCAACAAGACCCCATGATAACCCCTTAGAGAAGTTTAATGGCTATTTACCAACGCAACTTCTCGAAATCTGGTTTTCTCAACATCCATTTTCATTCTTGGTTTCCAAGACACTTCTGCTGAGGAATATCAGGAACGGAACCCAGTATGAAATCCTGGTTGCCGCAATGCTTGCTGATGTGCAGTATGGCCAACGAAACGAGCCCGATTATGGCGAGGGAGGAAAACTGTTCAATTGGATCACATTGAAGTTGCAAGAAATAGCCGAAGACGAATTTAGTCTGTCGGCAATTCAGGCCGTCATACTGCTTGGATGGCGCTGTCTATGCTTTGGGAACGCAAGACGTGCACTTTGCTATCTGTTTTGGGCTGAGGAGGCACTTTACTCACTACCAACACCACAGACAGGGGTCAATACCATTAATGGCATCGATGTTGGCAAAATCGAACAAGAATCGTATCGTAATGCATCCTGGCTTGTCTTCTTCATCAAGCTTTGGGCAATGCTTCAATTGAACATTACCGGATACGAAAGTCCACCACCCGGTCCTCCACCTTCCATCTCGACAGATGAAAGTAGCTTACAGAGCTTCAAGTTAGACCGAGCTTCTCACAACCTTGCAACACTTCAAACACAAGAACGAATGTATCGAGAAATGTGTTTACTTGGTCACGTGACATATATTACCGGCCGCGTCCTCGCTACATATACACCTGAAGAGAAGACGGATCGACCCAGGATTTATCAATCTTCCAATTCCCAGCCCAATCAAGGTTTCATGAATATGCCCAATACCTGTCTAACGATTCATGCTGAGCTCCTTGGCTCCTTTCCAAGTCTCAAAAACGACCTACAATACAGTACTGGTTACCATCACGGGCTGGCTCTCTGCGCATCGCATACACTGCTCATACACAGTCTCGTCTACAAAATGAATTCGGACGTGTATAAAAGTACCACGAACTCCACACATCTCATTGCTATGGGCAGTCTTTGTCAACCAATCCTTGATTTCTGCGCGTCAGCAAAATCATTATTAGAATTCTTTTCGACTTTCCATAATACCGACTATGAAGGAGCCAACACTAGTAGCGCATTGATGTCACAACAACTGCCAAACAAACACGATCTCCTCGCTCTCTCACTCAACGCATGCGGGCAAGCGATGAACACAATATACATCCAAGGTCAAAACGGCACCGAAATGGTGCGTAATTGCATCAGGGAAAACGCTTCTGAGCTCGCTCGACTGGCCACCGAGCTTCGCGCATTCAGCAAAGACTTCTGCTTCATTAGCACCCGTCTCAAGGGCGCCAAAAAACTGCCGAAAAATGCTATCTACCAGTTCACAGCCCCTCAAATGGGCCTTTCCGGCTCATATACATCTGCGAGTACTCCTTCTCGTATGGGATCCTTGAAGATTCCTGAAGCTGAACTTAATGCTGCTTTTGATCATACGGACTTCTCGTTTGGCTATGATCATGCGAGTTATTCTGTCGCGGGATTTCACGGGTATGGGCTACCGATGATGTCGGATAATGGTTATAACGCTGGAAATATTGAATAAGGTGTGAATGGGAATATATATATAATATGAGATAGGGTAGAGTAAGGGGGCAATTTCTCTTACAGAAAGGTCGCTATTCTACTTTACGTAAATAATTCCTGTACTTAATTTCTTTTTTTATATCTCGCTTCTTGGGCTTACTTCTACTTTTATAGACCTAGATTTCTACTTTCAATACCTAGCTACCTTTGAGAGTGTTTTCGTTCTAACAAACGTGAGTAAGACTCCCGATGCGATTATAATGAAAATACTCTGGCTACGAGGTCTCTAATTTTTCTGTTATCCTTAGGTGGCCTTGCTCGCGTCGCGACTTCCTTGACGAAGACTACTCTTCGGAAAGCGACGCGACGCGCCACGAGACAAAGAAAACTTGACTCAAATCCTTAACCACAAGTTCCTAACATCGTGGAAAAGCCCCCTCCCAAAAAAGAATCTGCTCGGTGGGCGGGAACAAGGAGAAGTGAGCTTACTCTGATCGTGGGTGCTCTGGCACTTAGCAGGTAATTCTAGACATGTACAAGGTTTCTGAACCTGTATAGACCTTCTAGTTAGGTCAGTGGAGTCTCTACACCTGGTGTAGAGAGATGAATGCATCGGAGAGTGTCCAAATGGACCGCAACTCAAACTAAGGGGTTTCGAATGAACCGCGACTTATATAGCTCCTCTTTCGAGGCCGCTTTCTACGATAGTTTGGACTAGATTTCTAGTTAGCAAGTGAGTTCGACGCTGATACCAGTGCACCACCGAGCCTGTTTATTGGCAACGGCAGTTCTTAATTGTGTACATGATAAAAAGTGGTGGCCCCTGGATGGGCCGCAAAACTCCCGCAAGCGATATGGTCAAGAAATTTGAAGGGAAGGAGCGTAGCGGAGAGGAGAAAGGAGAGGTACTCGCTTTTCGCATTGGACCACGAACATCATTTTATTCTATGAACAAGTAAGTACACTAAACGCTCTCTAAACGTTTCTCCGAGGGGGAAAAGGAGTTAGATGTTTATTTCCATATTTTCAAGGGACAGTGTTCTAGAGACTTACCAGTTAAGCAGTCATCTGGTGGCGCGACCAGTGATAGTTTTCTTTCACGACAAGGAAGAGTCTCTGGGAATACTTGCACGCCTAAGTAGGGCTGCACGACGTCTTATACACACGTAAGTGTGAATTCAGCCTTTTCATGGTTGGCTAACCCGACTTGTAGATGTCTAAGACCATGCCTAAGGGGCTACATATATCTTAAGAGGATCCGAGTAAGTTGCCGCTAAGGTATTTATAGTAGTTAAAGCAATTTTGAATAAATGTATATCATTATATAGTAACACGATCCATGTTATATTGCTGACTCGCTAAGGCAGGTGGGCTTGTAAGTTGCGAGAAAGGTTCTAGATTTCTCTTTCTTAGTTGTCGAAATACCTCATTTTTAGGGGTACTCTTGGGCCTTTTTTGCTACTAAAAGTGGGGAAACATAATTTAGAGACTCTGTTACTTATATGCCGAAAATGACTCAATTATTATAGATTATATAAATATAATATGACCAACCCTATGTCTAATGACATTAGAATGGTACTAGAGCTAGCTTCGACGTGGATCGGACTACCCCGTAATTCTAGATCGTCTAGCTTATTAAGCAATGACATGCTATTCTGTTCCAGGTATTTCGAACTAGTCTGTATGCTATGGAAGTAAAGTGAAAAGTCAAAACAATACATAGAAACGACCTCTGTGGCGAATAAGGAACAATGTTATTATATAACTTCTGGGTACATAGTAATATCTGTTTTTAAAATACTAGGAAAGACATTGGTCGCGAGGGTATTACGTTATTTGACCTCCTTTCTTGTTAACCACTGTCTGGCCCTCCAAGTCCACTCGGCAGGTCCGCTTAAGGTTTAAGATAGTGTTAGCACCTGACATATGTACGTGGCCCGACGTTACTATCCCACGTTACTAAACAAAGTCTCATGCCTACAATGCGCGGGTTTTACAAGAAGTAATAGAATAAAAAAAGAAGAAATGATACCTGGAAAGCAGCTTCCTAGACCACCTAGAGCATCAAAGTAAAGGACCTATATCTAATGGAGGCCGTCAGTCTAACATAAAGTCAAAAAACTCGCTTAGGCGTTTGAAGCGGGTTCGGAAGTATAAAATGCTTACAAAACGGGCTTTTGTCCCACGTGCTCCACTTTAAACACCTCAGGGTGTTGATGATTAGATTTTGTACAGAAGATCTTCTCCTGCTCGACTTGTATCGCAAGAATGTAATGAAAATGACTCGTTGAAATTAAGCGATGAACCCTGAAAAAAAAGGGTGGTTGGCGATAGGCTGAGAGAGGGCAACGACTACAGATAAAAACAAATGGTCTCGCACCAATTTTCTGCAGCTGCAGGCTCATTCCCTCACGTTTTTTCTTTTCAGATATTGGCTCTGCGTACATTTTCAGGGCTTATAGGTAAAAAAGGTTGGGGATTCTTGGTGTTGTGCTGACATGCCAAGTCAGAGCGGGCAGATCATCGTCATCACGCCCAGCTTTCAGCGAACCTGGAACGCAGCCAACTCGGTGGAAATTTCAGCCCCCCACCACCACACCCACCCATCAAACAGAGCCCGGAAATCACCTGGAACCCTAATATCTCAATAATGCCCTCACTGTCGTCATCGAATTATATCGATGTTAGCGGTAGAGTTGCAAATATGCATATGCAGGCCAACAGTGCATAATCTTACGATGATTTTCCCTAGGATCTGAGAGACTGAGAGCCAGTTACGGAGCTTCCATCTAGAACTTGGCCTCTAACCGCCATGGCTGACATTCGAACTTGGGGAGACTGGCAGATGATAAGGGTAAAATGCAGCCCATTCGCACGATGCGTATGCATTTTATACCAGGCAGAACTTATTGTCAGCAATAGTGCTGAGGTGTTTGGTTGCCTCACAGATTCTTATCAACCTCTTCCCAGCCACCAAAAGAAAAAACGACCAGCACACGACCGGCTAAGTAGTTGTCAAACACCATGTCGCTTCTAGAATGTCTGCTGGGCAAATCTGATCAAGGACCACCCATTGTATTCGTTGATCACCAGCAAAATCGGAAAAGGTTGCAGAAGCCTCGTGGGATAAAGGAAGGTAAAAAAGACCTCCGGTCTTTACCTCGCAGTGATATGTTCTTACCAGCCTCACCCCACCATGGCATGATCGTGTTACCACCACAAATTGGATATCTTATAGACGGTCTGCCCTCGAGTCACCCGGCACAATCATACTCATCGGATATTCTAAGACGGTCTTCTCCGTACTCACAAAACTCGTCAAATTCATCATCGCGATCAAACTCGGCGTGTAGATCCAATTCTTCAAGCATATCATCACCAAGAGGATCACTATCCTCAGCAGGTTCATATTTATCACATCCGTCAAAAAACTCAACATTCTACTGTCCTGCAAGGGAAATGGCAGTTCACACACCACGCAGAGCCAAAACACCAATCCGGTTTGTCGGCCAGCTTGAAACAAAAAAGCCGACTCGGATTGATCCGTCCAGGAGGTTTGCACAGGAATATCTCGACCTTTTGCCTCCTCGACCATTCACACCATGCGTTGAAGAAGAAGTCGTCAAGCCGCGCCCTAGGTCTATTCGAAAAATCAAATGCCAACAAAGTTTGCGAGACATGGTGAAAGAGCAGCAGTCCCTATCGCAAAGCCCTTCCGATTGTAATACTCTCGTTGGCTCTGAAGCTCCAGAGGTAGATAAATTACAGCTAGTCGATAAACCACCTCGATCGACTCCTACACTCGGTGAAAAAGAGCCGATCAAAATAATCAACGAACTCCACGATGAGATTGGCCTCGGAATTTGCATGAGTCTCTTGACGAACGAGCTTGCCACAGCTCTCTTCAAGCAACACCCATCGGAGAACCAAGATCAGGCTTCTGGGTTGCAAATTCTGCTCATGATTGAAGCATACGAAACTCTCCGGCAGCATGTTCGGAAAGAAGTGCAAGATGCAGATATCGCAGGCGAGGAGGTTGATAGTCACGTGCGAAATATCGAAGGGATACTCGATCGATGGCTTGAGTCGCTCTATTCTATCTATGGATCTTCCACCGACCGAATGAGCTGTGAAGTGATGAAAGAGGAGGACGAGGAATGGCCGTTGAGGCGATCAGAAGATAGTAGTGATAGTGGGCGGACTTACGTGAGCTGCTGAAGCCACTGTATGGATAAGAGAGAACATGTGAGCTGCATCCCAAGAAATGGAGTTTCAGCTCTGGAAGCATCGACAAATTTTCGGGACACATGACATAATACGAAGTTCATAAGAATAGCTGGGAATTACTGGGCTTGCGTCTCAAGGATTGCTGGGTGGTGTATAAAATGGGGAGTTTGGGATGGTGGTTTTTTGACCTGGCACGGAAGGCATATTTGGTGGCCTGATACGGAGTCGTTGAGCGGAAATGAATAATGATAATACGAATCGATGCAAACCCTAGTTTCACCCCGTCCAATCTAAGTTTTCGAAGTGATATCAACGCCGTTTTGTCACTTTTCTTACCTCGTGCCCTTTTTCTCCTGACCCTGTTGAACGGCAGGAGTACAGTACATTAAAGAACATGGGTGCCAAGCAGTCAGTGAGTTTCCGAATTCTTACGTGCTGGACTTCACTTGGAACAAATTATACTAAGCGGGCTTCAGGGAAGCTTAAGTGGCTCTCATGGATTTGCTTCTCCTTTTGCTCATAAAGGATTTATGTTGCACGTGTGCTGACATCCGGGCATGTTGTATCTTATAAGTATGATTACTTGGAGTCTACTTTTAATTTTCACAGCAATAGAGTGGAAATGGATGGGTTTTATCCCAGATGAATACTGCGTGCAACTGTATAATAATAAATTTGGCGGTATGTTTTAGACAGAAAGAATCTAGAATTGAATGTTATGAGCAGTTATCTTCTGGTTCCTCTTCCACCCTTCCACTCTACCATTCTACCCTTTCTTAAATTACCCAACAACGACTACATCTTCAGATCATAGCTTCTCTTTGATCTCAGTCGCGCCCTTGATAAACGCCAACATGGCTTTCTACCAATCGTTAATGAACCTTCTGATTCTTTCACGAATACGATACCTGAGCGACCAGCTATCCTGCGTTTTCAGCCCCAGTCTTGTTGCTAAACTTACTGCCCAGAAGAAAGGTACAACTAGAGCCAAACTTATAAATCTAACTTTCTCCGATTCTCTGAAAATCAAAGAACATACAACGAAGATTACAAAGCAAGGAACAGACGTCGAATAACAAAAGCTCTCCAAGAAGCCCCCTAGCCTGGGATTTCATTGATGTTCATCCCGTAGAATGACATAACAAGTGACAGTGGTAAGAACACGAACCCAAAAAAATAGATTCGACCGATCGAGTTTGCTTGTTGAATTGATTTTCGAGATTCCTCAAGAGACAAGGTTCCAACATTAATTTGAATCTTGTCACGAAGATACTGCTCGGATAATCGTGCTCTACTCAAAGTCCTCCTGCATCTCTTCATGAAGAAATTCAGTTTCTTGCTCTCTGCATTAGCAGTTTCTGATGTTAACCTGTCGGAATAGTCGTCAATTTGATCCAGTATGATTTGGAAATCCTCGATTGCTGATCTACCAGCTTCCCATGCCATGCGCAAAACATCGTCGGTCTCTTTTGAGAAAAGCTCATCAGAGCTGCGGTTTCTGAAATCCATGATTGTGATACGTTGAACAAAATGAAGTTCGAATGTTTCCAAGACTGGTATCAAGAAGTTTAGGGGGAATTGTTGGCAGTTTTCATATCGATGGAGCCAAATTTCTGGATTCTTTCTATCATGACTAAAACCCTTTCCTTGCCATGCGTGGCCATACAGCTCCAACATTTTTCTCTATCAATAGCAGAAATGACGTTGCTAAAACTTGCTTGTATAGATAATCGTGGAAGATGAAACAGAATCACTACAAAACTCAGCACTATATTACCACCAACATCATACATTCCAGGGAAAGAATCAACAACTCACCAGTTTTCTGATCTGGACCTGGGCACCCAATTTTCATAACTCCCCATAATCTAGGTGCCACTTCCCATATTGCAACATCGTTGAACCCAAGGAGTAGATATATCGGTTCTATTTGTTTCATAAAATTATACCTTGTTGAAGACTTCTGTCTCTCTCCATGCCCCTGACCTTTCTTCCAAAAGTCTCGTTCTCTATCTGACATTATCTGATCATAGAACAGTGGATCCAAGTCGTACTTCGTTCCCAGAAAGTTAGTCAACTTAGCACCGGGCATATTTGGCCAAAAATCTGTTTTAGGAGGGATGTCGTGCGGGTTTACTTCAGAGGTTTGACTAGTATTCCACAGAGTTACAAGAATAATGCGGGTCTTGACATTGGAAGATGGCGCTTCCAAGGCCTCACAGAATTTGTCCTCGATCTCCGTATTTGTGAAGCTCTGTGCCGACAGATTGTCATCGGATGTGAAGTCAAATATAGCGCAGATTGGACTCTCGACACAACCTTGACAATAAAGGTTGTAACAACATGGATTTCCACATTCACGGCTCCTTTCAATATAGCCGAAAAGCTGATCAAACGTTGCCGTATATGTCTCGAAATCGTTTATTTCAGATCTCGGGGTGAGATTTAATTCGTATTGCCATTTCCTTGCCTGAGCTTCATATCTACTGAATAGTCAGAACCTTCTTCCATCTTTCAAATTCTGCCATACCGTGCTTCCGTTTCACTCAATTCAATGATCTTATCAATGTAGGGATATTTTCCTCCTGTGTCTCCCCGCTCGTTGTATTGTTGTTCCTGACTTTGAGGGTCTTCAGGGACTGCCATTGGTACCGATTCCTGGATTTCGGGTTGTGGGGATGGTGCAGCAATCGCGCTTTGGTTCTCGATATCGATATCGTTAGTGGACATGATGCTCTGCTGAAGTTTGAGGAGCTACAGCATCGAGAATTTTGAAACTGAGAGGAAGATGTCCTACGGGAGCTGCTATGTCATTTGAAAGAGGCTGTGCTAATTTCTGTGTGCATGGTGCATACTGCAGCGTTCAACCATGATGTAGTTACCAGGGTAGTCCGCGGTAAGATAATGCCCCTAATTCGCTACTGCACTCCATATAACACATAGAATTCTTGTCTTTTAAGGCTTCCACTATATCTGGGGGGGGTTACACTTACCATAGAAAATGGATGTTATCAGCTATGCTAGGGTGGCAGGGTGGAGTAGGGCGAAGTGCATCACAGTGTGAATTCGATACTCCTACTGGCTAGAAGTCCCTCTTCTTGTACATGGAAAATTACAATAATCGGGAGCTCCTCGTTTTCGGACTCTTCTACCTAGAGACCAGTAGAAAGATCTTCTATAAATGACCCTAAAGTAGTCTTGACAACTTCTGTTACTCCACTCTGCCACCCTAGCATATTTGATAACACCTATGTACTACAAGATGGTAAAGATTTCGTTCATTACTTGAAAACCCATCCGAAGCAATTCGAATATGTCCTTCTCGACTCTCTGAAATTATTAACAAAGACTTGGGAGTCAATTAAGCTTGATGTGCGTTCAGATATATCACGTGAGAAGTCGCCTTGCGCAATGAATACGTTGAATGAAAAGTTTGACGAAGCCCCCTTTAGTCTTGCAGACATTATTACCGTTCGTTGAGTCCAAAAAGCATGCAAGCAAGATTACTTGAATTGCCTAAAGTACCAGCCATCCATTTTTCTTTTCTCTAGTCTTCATAAGGAAGGAACAGATATTAAAAATACCGGAAAATATCTTTGGATCTAGAACAACGTATTGAAATCAAGTAATCAGGAGAAAATTGAGAGACGCGGTCTGTGAAAATGACCTACAAACGTCTACTAAATTGCTATTGCAAGTGCTAGGAAGTTAAGAAAAGCATACTTTCTACTGAATATGTAAATTCTCGATAAATCAACCCTAGAAAACCAAAAGTCTCAAACCCCACCATTTCAATGGAAGTGGCTTTTCGCTAAGGTTATAAAAAGATTTCAGCCAGAGACAAACAAGACGAATTTCTATTACTGTATACCATATTAATATTACCCCAGAGGCAAAGCGGCATAGGAATAGCGAACTACTATAAGTAGTCTAAGTTAAACCTTTTTTGAAGTTATTTCCGTGTAAAGCTATATTATAATAAAATCGAACTTATAAGGCCCTAATTTAGTTTATCCTATAAGCTATAGATAATCTAGTCTTGAAAATAAATTCCAAGTAAGTTATATAAGTATAGTTTACTTAGTATACCCTCAAATGTTTTTACTATCCCAGTAGTACCCTCGAGGGAGGGTTAGTATATAGTTAAGGGTCGCCTAAGAAATAAGGTCTTTTAAAGCTATATATAATTTAGGCGCTAAGACTCCTAGGTATTAGTAACTTTTTAACCCTTAAAAGGCCTTTAAATCTTAGATAATTAATACCTAAGTCTTTTCGCTAAGCCTTATTAACTATAAGGGTTATTTAAGAATTATAGGGGTATACTAGGAGCTTTAGAGGGTTAGAGAATTCTATATAAATACAAAAGTTATATAAGTATTTACTTCGAGCTATATAAAGCTAAATATAGCTATATTATACCTTATAGGAGTATAATAAGTACTCGGTACTACGCGTATATAATAGACTATAATACTACATAAATATAAGTTTTAGAATTATACGATTTAACTAAAGTTTCTAGGCACGTATAGTAGGCGGTATACTAGGTGATAGTAGAATAATAGTAGAGGTATATATATATATATAGGCTAGGTTACCCCCTTTTATCTAACTATATATACGTATATAACTTTAGGTAGTAGAGTGTTAGTAAAGAGTTAAGGATTTTTTAAATAGCTCTATAAAAATATACTAATAGTTATAGGAACGCGAGGGTTAAAGTGGCCGTTTAGCTTAATAAATCTAAAGATATATAACTTATATTTAAAGTAATAATACTAAGATTTATATTTAAATATTTCTAGTTTATTTAGTTATTGTTGGTACCACCTGATGGTCGTGACGACGGCGAATACCGGATTCTGATCACCCTCTGTTGGGGTAACTAAATCGGTGTATTCATTTGTTCGTGAAGAGTAAAGGTGGAGAGAGGTGGTTCTCTACGAGCTTAAGTATGTGAGTGGCAAGCCACTCACATGACACCAAGCATGTAGAACCACCAGGCTCTCGTACGAGGTGCTAATCACTATAATTATATACCGACAGTTATATAAAGCTTTTAGAATAAGAATACTTAAATACTAATAACTTATAAGTTATAAAGTATTTAAGTTAATTATCTTAATATAAACTAAAAGATATATTATTCTAAAGGTTTAAAATAAGATAATTAAATAGTATAGTTATATATAACAAAGTATAAAATAATAATATTTTAAACTAATTACTTTTACAATCTATTATTCTAAACTTCTAGTATAAGAAACTTAATTATTAAAGTATAAGAAAATAAATATAAAATATAAACTAATAACCTTTTAATCCACTTTCTATAAATATATATTATATAACTTATTTGGAATAATTAAGTTTATTATTTTAGTATACGAATATGTTTAAGAAATATAAAGTAATAAATAAATTAAGTATTTTTATAACTATGTTAATAATCTTAATTATATTAGACCTTTAGAATAATATTATTCTAAGTAAGATTTACTAATTACTACTACTTAACTTTTACTCTAAACATATAGGTATTAAACCAATAATTAAAAACACTTTAAATTTACTATCTTTCTCTACTCACTCTTACTTTCGTACACTTGTAATTCTAGAGTAAAGACTCTTTAGCACATCAAAAAGACGAATTCCTTCCTTCCAATTCATCCATGGAGCGGAAATGAATCCACCCTCGCTATCACCGCCAAAAACTCCAGCTTTTTCATCAAGATCGGTAAAAACGTCCCAAAAACGACCAATCAACTCCTTGGTAACTGGATTAACCACTTCCACATTAATACTTCCAACCAAAGCCACCATATTCATAATTTCGACCGGAGAGGCAGCAATCGAGGACATCAGAGGCATACATTCTTCAACCGACAACAGGTACGCCTCTTTGAACACACGTTTCTCGACATCTTTCATGGTTCCGGTGACGAAAATCGTAGTATCCGCGATGACATCGGGCATAATGAGATGTTTGACAGCTCCAATATCACCAGAAACCTCTCCTGTCATGTATTCTTGATAGCGCTTGGTAAGGAATACACGACGAGGAGAACCTCCAGCGGCTAGGGCATCCTCTATAACACGTTCCAACTCGGATTTGTCTTCGCCTGAATAGTCATGGGGCTTGACGTCGACCTCTTGGGAACCAGATTCTTCGGTGATTCTAGCTGATTCCGATTCCTGGTATGCCTTGTTAGAAACCTTGAGACTGCGAGTTGAGAGACGGTGAAGTTTTGCTTACCTTGACAACATTCTGATGATCATGGAAACTGGCCATTGTGTTCTTGAACGCCAACTCCATCCTGGTGTTTGCTGCCTTTTGGCGTCTCTCCTGGTCACTAAATTCCTCCTTCGTAAGTGGATCCTTTGGTGGTGAAAGGGGGGTGCGCCTAAGTCGAAAACTGTTCAAGATCTCGCTCTCCCCTGATGAAATTGAACCAAATGGGTGATCAGACTTCTCCAAGTTCTCGATGACCAAAGCTTTCTCAAGGAGTTCAGCAAGAGCCATGGTGTCTGCGTTCTTCGGAATTAAAATTGTAGGGTCGCTATTCTCAAGAAGGTCGCGGATATCGTTCGGAAGTTGGCGGAAGACCTTGGAATTGGAGCCCAAAGGCTTGAAGAGTTGTTTGAGCTCCCAAACAGTGACAGCACGCAACTCAGGGTCCTTCATGATGTCGATGATGCGGCCTGCCAATTCTTCTGCAACTGTGGGATGTCCTTCACCATTGAAGTTGGCAATTGACAAAGTCGACATGTTTGGGAGCGAGGAAGCGTTGTTGAGTCCAGACATGTTGTGATTGATAGGTGTGTGTTGGTCTCGGAGACGCGACAGACTGGTGGATTGAGGTGGTTGTGGAAGGAGGGATCCAAATCTCGCTTGGGAAATGAGTCTTCGATCACAAAGGTTGTCAAGGTGACGAAGTGTCTGAAAACAGGTCTTACAACAGTTTGGAAGAGATTGAGTGCGTAACGACGTGAAGAAAGGTGTTGTTCAATCTTGAAGGTTCAGGAAGACACTTGCTTGTGATGGGTTGCGAGATGAGGATCGAGGGGTGGTGAGAGAAAGAGGACTGAGTTCTTGACGAGAATTCGATGAGATTCGACTCTTATCAGCAGCATGTGGGCCGCGCTACTAGCGTCTGAAACCACCTAATCTTTGTTGAGAACAATGCCTGCCTTGCAGCCTCAAGTTAGTCAACTGATGACTTGATTGATCGGTTACAATTACTCGTACTTCACTTTCCCCAGCCAAGAATATTGACTCTTTTCCTTTCATGAAACTTATTGAGAATGCAGTCATCGAGGTTGCAGATTACGCAATGAAGAGATCTGGAGGTTTACGAGCACGAGCAAGGCACTTGGGTTTTGCGGTCTTGGAACAGAGGATTGAAGATTTATTTTGGTTAGGTATCAGACTATCAAGTGTAGTTTCTTGCTGTTTCATTCCAGTAGATAGATCGTAAGGTTAAGCAGAGCACAATACCATTGCTACCAGATCCAGCGGCTCCGTTGATAACCGTGGCAGGATCATGGTCCTACGGAGTACGCATGTCTTCTGATAAGAAACCCTCTCATTCTGGCCCAAGAATTTACCCGAGCCGCTTCTGGCCCCAGCCACCGCACCAGTATCCAGGATGATACCTGCTTGATCTTCAACCGCAATCGCGAGTGTTGGTTGTTCAACAGACTTGCAATTCAACTTCTTTGACAAAGTTAGGGTTGTTTACTTTGCATCTCGCTTTGAACTTCGAAACGAGGTTGTTTAAGGGGGAAGGTGGATGGTGACCGAAGTTGGGCCGATACGCGGTGTTGATCTGGAACAACCAGTACAAAACCGCAAGATTGTCGCTAATCGGTGTATCCCCGGGAAATCGACTCTCATTGAGCCTAAAAAAGTATGCACAGGTTTGAATTCGCGGATTCTGGGTGCCTTTCAAAAGGAGTGCAGAGAGAAACTGCGGGCAGACTCCGGTGGTGAGATGGTAATGTCAGGTTCTGGGGCGTAACGATGAGTGAAACCTCAACTGCTAACCCCAAATTGTCACAACCAAAGTAATAATAAAAGGGCCACTGTGGGACGGTGAATCGCTGCCTGTGCAGTAGATCCTCTCGTAACAGTAGTATACCATGGCACGAAAAAATAACTCTTTATCTTCTTTGAAACTCCCTTTGCCTCCTTTGGAGGGGTTTACAAAGACTTGTGCATGTGTATGGACGAGTGATACGAATCTCATCCCATGAGGCCATTTCCTGAAGGTCTTCCACTGCGACCACAAACCTGGCTCTCTCTCATACCTGCGGAGCTAGGTTCAAGTTTTACTGTCATCCTGGGAGAAGAGGGGAGGGTAAAGGGGGGTTTGGGCTAATTTCCAGGGACATTCTACTCATGAATACATATCTTATGTTGCATATGACCGTATTTTAATTGAGTATGGATACTCGTATATCGGCCAATGGGTGCACCACGTAAGGCATATCCATGTTTATTTTGTTGAGTGATTTCTACTTCTCCCTCACTGTTTATATCTTCATTCAAGAACCCGAGCAATCAGCTGTATTTCAGAAGAAGTTAAACATCAATAAAAGCTGAAACACCAAATGGTCCTTCAAGAGGTCAGTGTAACTGTCCTATTTTCTGCTAAAAAAAAGGACAAAAGGCTCTACTCTAGTTACGCACAGAATTGCATAAATCGATTATATGTATATATAGAGATAAAGAGTTTAGCAGAAAGTAGTTAATCTCTTTAGTCATTCGTCTAACATGTTTTGTTTCAGCTGGGTCAGAAGTTCTAGATAGGAAGGGTAGATTTGAGCCAGAATCAATAGTCTGGTATAGTATAGAGTACAAGGCCAATTAATTGTCCTTTCAAACCCTAGAATCTTGACGCTAATATCGCCACAGCCTATAGACTGTCATTGGAATCAGCCACAGGGTTGAGTGAATCAGAATTCTTGATAGTGAACTAATAATCTTGCACTCTATTCAATCTTTTGAATCTATTAAGAAACCTTATCCTGTTATTTGTCATTTGTGAATAAATGACAGAAGAGAAAGGTGAGGACTGAGATACGGATGATGATGGAGAGTGAGGCTTGGCAATGTCAATTATGAGAAGCGTGTTCTACCAATTTTGCACACATTTTCTCTTTTGGTAAGAAGATGATAAAAACCTGCGAATGAAGTTGACAAATGACTAGAAAAGTCTTTATTTCCATGTTTTTGTCTAGTTCTGCTAGGCGTCAATAAGCCTTGTGCTGGCATGCGCGTTTTCATTCTACCAGAATTGACTCTATTATCTCTGACTGCGAGTACCCTTGGTTCAATAAGCTCCATCAAATATCTCCGCATTCGAAGTCGCAAGACTCAATTCTGTGATGGCTCTCCCTCCCACAAAGACAAGGCATGTTGAATTATCTGTACATGGTACGCAAACGACGGCAAAAAAAGAGAAAAGCTGACAAAGTCCGTGTGACCAAGGAGTGGTGTAGACAACTGCAAAATGAAAATTGGCTAGGTGACCGAATAGAACATCCTTAAAAAGGATTTTCAGCCTAATGAGGAAGGCTTACAACTGCATGCAAAGCAAGACCCGTATGAACACCTGTTTCAAAAACCATCAGTCAGCATCATTAGCACTTCCCAACTATTATTGCATATATATTCCTGCATACCAGCGATCCCGATCGCGACTCCCGCGTGTACCAAAGATTCGGATCTGCATCTTCTCGTCCAGCTGCGAGGGTGACATCGTTTTCTCTAGCTGATGTTTCAGCGACGGGTACTCTGGCAGTTACCACCCTCCCGTCGGAATAAGGAGCTGACCTTCTTTTTGACCGTATGTGGAGGAGTAGGCATCTTCTCTTCATTAGTTGGGACGGCATTTGCGTCGATGGCTGGACTTTGTACAGTTGGTGTAATACTGGAATTCCGAATGAGTTGTTCCAAGCCTTTGATTCGGGTTTTATTTGCATCGCCCTCCTGTGCCAGGTCTCTGATTATTCGCTGTTGTGCTTGGATTTGTCTCTTTGAGATGCGAAGTTGCTCTTCGAGTTCTTGGATTCGTTTGGCAGATTGCGCGTAAGCCATGCGGCTGTTTTTGAGTTCCATTTCGATAGCGTATGCCTGTGACTCTGTTACATAGGGAGGGTCTTTTTGCGGTCGTTGCTCTTGAATGTCGTCAATGAGTTTGAAGATGTCGTTTATCACGGGTGATGTCGCCTCAGAATCCCATGACTGTCCTCCCATGAAGCCTTTCTTGATGCCATTTGCATTGGATGACTTGTCGCTAGCCATTGTCAAAGGTCGAGTGACTGGCTCTGCCTTTTTCTACAGAAGTTTAGCTCCTGTCAGTCAACGGGAACAAACGTAATTTGGAGGCGAAGCTCGAGTGATTCTCACCGACGTAGAAGAATAGGCACTGAAATCTGTCGAGATGAGGGTTTCTTCTGGAGTAGGAGCGGAAACGCCAATGTCTGAAAGGGCAACGGACTTCGAATTCTCTCTCCTCTTTTTGGCACGCACCGCGTCGAGTTCCCTCCACCTGGATAGTATGGCTTCGTTATCCATTTACTGTACACTTCAAAGTTGGGATAGGGAGAAGTGGTAGGCGAACAATATAGCAAGAGTTGGGTGGTATGAAGAAAGCCCCTGTTCCTGCAAAGCTGAGTGGGGAAGTAGGTGTAGGGAGGGGAGTATACAAAGGCAGTCATCCGAGCAATAGTGAATTAGCCGAAATTGCATCCTGAAACTCTTCAGAAACTGCTGCTAGGTGGTGAGTAGAGGCTCATCTTTATTGGTTCAACCTTACGCATTCCAAGTGCATTTGTTACTCTCATTTCTGTCTCAAAGTATATTCCTTGGATCGCTACTTTCTCCAGGGGAATTAAAGAAATTGGAATTGTGAGAGCATGACTTAGTGATACTTGGCGTCTTCTTGCTATTCATGGCAGCCCATGATTAGTTCGGCAGAATCCGGAGGGAGAACGGAGAAAAGCAGCCGACTTCTCATAACAACTTTTCGCGTTCCATCCATCCTCAAACTCATCAAGAACCACAATCTGAACGTCTTTTTCTCAGGTAATAGATGAAAACTGTATGTAATTGATCTCAATTGCCTTTTGGTCCTTGTACTGATACTATCATAGCACAATTGGAGATATAGCAAGATCAAGATACCCCCCTCGTTCACCTTTCGCAATCAAAGACTATGGCGTGTATTGCTCAATCTGCAGCGACATTCATGGCTATCTGCAATTTACAAGCGATGCAAGAAGTATAAACTCAGCGGGCTGCGCAAAGAGGCAGAATGTTTAGCCGGCACACGGCCTGGAATATGAACTGAGATATCCTTACGGACCTTCTATCCTCTTGACGGCGATTGTCTATTACCGACATCGAGTCGTTGTGACTCTAGCTTCGACAAGTTCTCAAAAGAGGGACACCAACATATCCAGCAAACATATTTGGTTCCCAGACATCTTTATCTTGTTCTCCACCACGCAATTATGGACTAGTTCTACTTCCTGGCCAGTGGAATCAAAAATGTCTCTGTTGTGAATAACGGTCAGAAAGTTTTAAGTCGAACTTCTGGAAGGCGAAGCGATATATTTTGAGGTAGGATGAGGATAGGGTGAGGGAGTAAAAATATCTTGGACAAGCACAATCTCTGTTTTCCCGCAGGCGGGACGGAGGGAAGGTGAGAGCGATGTTTAAGCTTCCTCCTTTACTAGCACCAATCACACCCCTTCGCTCCAAGGGTACAAGTGACAGTTGGAATGCAGCTGAAGATTACTATGTGGGAAAACGAAAATGAAAACGCTACGTGGATTTATACGTGTGAAACACTTCAGATTTTCTCTTTTTCCATGACGCAAATATTTTGGGTGTCACCAAGTCTGAAAACTTCGGTGAATTCAATCCTGAATTAACCAAAAGAAATACTATCAAAATGAAACGTAGTAGCTTTTGTTTACAAAGCGGATTGAGGACATAGACCGTCTGAAAAAACATGAATTGGTACGAGAGAAATCATCGCTTCGTGCATCCGTGGAATCTCACCCTCGATCAGAAGGCGGCGAGAAGATGACAGTAAGGTAGTCAATTCTGATTCAAAGCCTCCACTTCTCATTTTTCTGAAATGGATGCGACCATATCTCGCTCGCGGCAATGGATCTCACTCTCCGCTCGTTGCGCTGGAACCCGTCTGAGTTACGCACTGGTTGAAGTTATTCATCTCACGTAGGCTGGGAATGAGGCCCAGGAGAAGGAGTTGTGATCGACCTGTCTGACATTCTTGAGCCGATACATGATTCTCCAAGGAGAAATCCGGAGCTCCAATCGTTATAATCCCTCTAATATGAAGACTTTGTATTGTTATAGCAACAGTCTCTTTTTTCACAAAAGGGTTTTGTCGATCCGGATTCTGGTGCTTGAATGAGTACCACTCAAGGTTTATGGAGAATAAATCAGTCTCTCGTAGGGTTAGTACTTGGTGGTTTTAGGTATGGCATTTGAGTAATGACTGTCAAGCATAAGCGGATTCGCATTTACGATCAAATTCGATTCTTGTGATTAGTTTTGAAGTTTGTCAAGTAGAAATAAGCCTGAGTATTTCTAACCAATCCATGAGTACAAGATTCCAAGCGAGTACTAATGATAAAATATATGAGCTGAATGATTATGTATCCTGTTGTGAACCGTCTTTTACTTTCCAAATCAACTCCGACTTTCCTTGTACTTTAATCTATCTAGGATAACTATAAGGATTGTAACTATTTCTGCGTTGATTTAAGAACTTCCATCCAACCTTTTTGACCAGGGTATAAGCGTTTATTTCTATGTTCCAAAATATTTCAAATAACTTCATTGTAAAAGTGTTGTTTTAACATCTACTGTGTCACCTGCTTTGGTTCTCTGTATAGTTTCCATTGGAAAAGCATTTGTTTGACATAATTTTGCCATATAATAGGAGTAAATTAGATCTACAAATGAACTTACGGGACAATGTATGAAGAGCGTAACAATCACATTTTGGCGATTCTCGCTTGGTCGTACAAGGCAACCAAAACAGTCATTGGTCACTGGAACTTGCTGACCAACAACCGAATTCACCCCACAATCACCCCGCCTTCCCTCAAGCCTCCATCAGAACTACAAATAAACACCAAAATGGCATCCAATCCATTTCAATTGCCAGATCGCACGGGCTCAGGCCCAAATTCGGAGGTCGCACTCCGAAATCGCAACCAGGTTTTGGAGAGTACATTGCAGGCAGAGCGAGAGACTTGGGGAAAGCGCGAAGCAGAACTGTTGGCTGAGATCCAGGCCTTGAAACTTGATCATGAGCATTGCGCAGAGGATTATGACGCTTTGAAGGGGTATGTAGAGGGATTGAGGGAAGGGAAGAAGGAGGATGTTGTCACCATTACTGAGTTGAAGGAGAAGCTGGCGGAGGCAAATCGTCGCGCAGAAGCTGGAGAGACTGCTGTGGAGGAATTGGCAAAGTTGAAGGTAGAGAAGGAGGGTATTGAGGCAATGATCAAGATTGTTGTTCATACTCGGTAAGTGTAAACAATTGCCATTCTCAAAGCATCAAAATTGTACATCTAACATGGCTCTAGTCTACGCTTCCTCTTCCAAGCCCTCAGTGTTGTACCCGAGGCCAGACCACGTATTCCACCAGGCGCCATCAATCAGTATATCAAAAACGGCAATGCAGCCGCCCATGCAGGTTGCGGAACCGCTGATGCGCAATTGTTCTTGGACCATCATATACCACCATCTCTCCTCCCCGGAATGACTCTCATCTTCAAGAATATCTACCGGATGACACCAACGGAATTCGTAGCATTGAGCGAGAAAGAGAAGGTCACGATCGATTGTGAGGTAACCATTCGAGTACTTCAGGTCCAGAACAACAGCATATCACGACCAATTGCACAGCGTCAACAGGCACTGGACCATATTGAGATAATCCGAATGAAAGCCAGCAAGATGAGCCGCGCAGATTTTGAGGATGACGCCGATGTTGAGAGACGATTGGGTCTCGTCAAGGAGTTGGTTGCTGAGATTGTCGATGGAGATAGATTGAACTCTCTTTCTGGAGGATCGCCGAGTGCAAAAGACCGACCTGCTCCGAGAAGACCATCATCTAAGTACTACAAGTAGGGTCGCGAGTTCTTTTGGGAAAGGGGGAGTTGTGTACTTGGATTTGCAGAATTAGAGTAAATTTGGCAAAGATGGACGTTTACTGAGGTTTAATTTCTTCATAGAGAAGCATTCGAGTTGTTGTAGCTTACAATACCAGATATCGAGTACAATCGTGTTGTCTTGATACCTTGACATTGAGGTTTTTCCATGAAAAGATGACTGCGGTACCTTAGGACAATGACTATCAGTGAAAGTCTTCTGTGAAATATGCAAATTTGCTAATCTTTTTGCCACTATATGCTTATAGTTATAATGGCACGCGCTTTGGGGTCTTGGATGCTGAGTCTAGGCTTGCTCAAATTCACTAGATCAAGAACCTTGTGGTGCTGACTACACGGTTTACATCACGTGGTCTAGACCCCCTTTCAGAATTAGCCGACTGATGAGAATTCGGCTAAATTGTGGGGACCTCAAGCGTGTTCTGATTGCGACAACTTCTAGCGATGAGTTCTAGTATAAGGAAAAACAATTCACACTGTATGTTTGCCAATGAATTGTCTCAACAGGGCACCTATCTGCATTCACGCATGTGTCCCGTTAGTTTTTGAACCAGTATCCAGGATTGATTCTGTCTATCTTCTTTTTTGATGCGTAGATTTAGATTCACGTAGCTTGAGTGTGAGAATAGTTGAGTAAAAATGCGCATTATTTCTTTTTTTTGCTGTCAGATTTTGTGTAGAACTCAGCACTCTAAGATTCTTCTTTTAGACACATACATGCTTCCAACAGTCTAGCATTTGTTTTTCTAAGGATATAGGGTTTTGTGTACCCTAATAATCTCCCACTTTTTTGCAATGCGAGTCAGTTACAAAACATAAACTTCTTTTCTCAAAAAGTTCTCTCTACAACTAATTCATGGTAACTCTACTTTCAAATTCCACCAAACTTTCACACCTACTCCATCCGTTCCCGACCCTCATGTTTCCTGCTTCTAACACTTTCATCAACGACTTCCTGTAGTCTCTTCAAATCTTCAACGTCGAATTTATGTCGTTCTTCTGATCGGATGTCCAGTGGAAACTCATCTCACTCAAACTTTCCCAAAGTCATCAGCCAAAATCTCGCCAATCTACAAAATTGGCTGTAAATTTCTTCGAAGCCGCAGGTAGATCATGATTCGAAAGTGCTAGTTTAGTCTTCTTGATGGCATCGAGTATACATCGAAGCCATCGCATTCGTCATTTTTTCGTCCAGTGGATCTATTTGTGACTCAACCAATAAGTCTACTCCGTCAAAGAGTCCCTCTAGAGCGCTTACGTGCTCCGATTTGTCCGCAAGATGGCCAAGTACAAGAGTTGATGTACCAGCGATGAGATGTCCATCGCGAGCATTCTCGTTGCTAATATTAATCAACATCCGGTGTTTCGATTCCTGTATTCGCCAAAAATCGTAACGAATAGAAACACCAGGACCAACCAAGAGTTCCTGGAGGGTGAGTCAAACGTTGATCTCTTATGTACTATTCTAGAAGATATTATTATATTTACTAAATTATTGTTGTAGCCAGAAAGGGTTCTTTTTCAGGCAAGGACATAAATTGTAAATAATTTATTATGAGTTATATATCTAGACGACGAATCTCTGAATTCATAGAAGGGTAAAGGAGAAGACGTCGAGTCAAATAGAGTAATTATAAGCTCGCTGCCTAAGTAGATAGTCAGACCCATCTTAAGACCAAGTATTCAGACTGACAAATTCGAGCATCACTCCAACCAACATATATGCACATTCTCCAGATCCAATCGAGAACATCGACGTTGTGGATCATCAGAAGTTCAGAAAATTAGAGGCAACGAACTTCGGAAACCCCCCTGCTCTCAGTGCAATTTGTCGCCAGAAAAAAGTGATACGAGATTCCTTTCGTGAAAGTATGCCTTTGCGAACGCTGCATAAGCTCAATTACAAAAGTCATTAAGGCAAATCAACCAAGCTTTTCGTTCCTACCCCGTGGAGCGGAGGAAGTTCTGGTATCTACAGTCCCTTCGCAAAAGTAGCAAGAAACAAGGGCAATCTACTAGTGTGTTGCAGGGTATTTTACAAGGTATTTTGTATATGAACTGCTTTTTCCCACACGTTCTAGGGTCGCGAAACATCTTGCTACTTTTGCGAAGGGACTGTACTTTCACTTCATCTGTAGACAGTAGTATCCCAAAACTCTTGCTCAGGACCATAGTCATTGCCTGTATAATCATAGAGGCTGTGCTATATACGCAGATCTCTGAAGATGTATATGGAAACTTCAACATTTAAAGCTCTCTTGAACTTCGTTCGTTTTATGTGCAACTGTGGTTTGTTTAAAGGTGTTCTTTCCTTGGTAAAATTTGGTGGTACGTATTTTCTCTACCTTACTTAGCCACGGAACCTTTTTAATCTAACATATTATTCGATTTCGTAATGCCATGAATAGCACAACCAAATACATTCACTTCAACTCTCACCAGCAGCCACCTAGTACATATTTCAACCACTACCATCAGAAAGACGTTGAAAACCCACAAAACAATTCCGCAAGCAACAAAGTTACCTTTTACCAGCTAATCACTCCCACCTATCGAGAAACATACATCTCCCAGTGCATCAAAGGAAGGAGTCGCAATGAAGAGTTATACCCCATCCATTCCCCGATTCACATAGAACGTAACCATCCCTTCCTAATCCTCATCTCGTCTTTCCGAAGTTGATATCCCAACAACTTCGCGCCTTCCCTCTCTACGGGATTATTCGTCTCCCGCTAACAAAACCCGCTACAGAAGGAACGACTTCGAAGACCTACCTAGTCACCTATCTCACCTACTCCCCAATTCCAAAACCGCATAGCTCTTCCTTCCACAATCCACCTCCGAGAATTCGCCACATCCGACCAGATACCAGTAGATAGCCCTAACCCCCGTCCTTACTCTCCCGTCCACTTCCCGTCTTCTCACTTGCTGCAAGGTACCTGGGCCCTGGCAAGTACTGCCCTTAGGCAGGTAGGTAAGTACATTTCAACCTCAGTCCACTTCATCATACAGTACTAATACCTAGATAAATACACAAACACATCTACTAATCCCAACTTCTGCTCCTAACATCTCAAACCGCACCCGAAAAACTTCAACATAGCACTCGCCACTCACCATCTCACCTCTCCAAACACAGATCTCGAATCTCAAAAACACTAGGTACCTACCCATGTCCACCTTTCAATTCAGATCGCATAAGCCCCCCAGCCCATCCCATCCCAGCAACTCAGCCCCAAAAAAGACCAGTCCCCATTCAAAACGGGCAAAAAACAGCGTCCTGCAACCTCCCCTCCCTTTCCCACCCCTCCTTCCCCATCCGTCGTACATCATCGGCTGCACCCAAAGCCGCACACCACCACCACCATCACCCATGATCACAAAAAGAAAATCTCGGAACAAATCTCCACAAATCCCAATGATGCAGTAGGAAATGCAGGAACGAAAGACGAGAGCAGATATGTACAGCCACCCCACCTGCCCACAGGTACCGCTGATTGATTGATTGATGGACTACCTACTTACCTAGATTGGGGGAGGGGGAGTCCCATGTATATACACCGGTAAACGTACTTCCCGTGCCGTTGTACCGTGGATGCAGTATATGTACTGTCGATCATCGAAAAAACCAAACGCCGATTGAAAGATTCATGCAAGGTACGGAGTGTACGAAGTGTACGGACTGTACTGACGGATGTACTCTACACAGTCCTCGTACCTGCGCCAGCCACATACAGCACTCCCATCGCACGCCCGTACTCATTGGACTCCAACAAATCAAACAAAAGAAACAGCCACAACCTGCCTTGCAACCTCCATCCAGTCGGTCGTCCGAAATAATATTCACAGGTTAGGAACAAGCGATGCGATACCTAGCTCAACCTCTAGCTAGAGAAAATCCGAACTCACGACTGTGGTGATATATCCCTATTCAAATAACACCATATCCAATGAAAAACAAAAATACCACGACCTAACCTACCTTACAACATCTCATCCCATCCCATCCCATCCGCAAAAAACCAACCAAAACCCCCCAAAACTCCATCACACAATATCCCACCCACCTACTCAGCTCAGCTCAGCCAAACCTTTGCCCCCCTTCCACAACCTACAACCACAACTACACCACTACACACCAACAAACCAGCCGAAACGAAAAACAGCTCCATAGATACAATAGGGCTGTACACCTAACCCATACCCATCCCATAATCACCTTTCCATCCCCACCATACCCTACTACCCAATCCAACCCAACATATCCATCCATCCATCCATCCCTCTTTTCCCAAATCCCTAGTAATTCCCAAAAAATTCCCGTATCAGTGCATCAGTCCTCGGAACGAGGCAACACAAGACAAGGTAAGGTAGGGTAAGGCGAGGCGAGACCAGACGAGGTGCGGCGACTCTTTCCTACCAGGTACATCATGTACGTAATCTAGTGTAATGTAATATCATGTACTGTACTGCACTACAGTACGAGCTAGGATAGAACCAAAAAAAACCCCCCGTAAAATGTCAAGTTTCATGTTTTCGCTTCTCTCGGAGCCAAGAACCGGTTATATTTTGGTATGGCATGGCATGTTTGCGTACTCGTACGTGCGGTGTAACCCAAGCTCGAAACCTTTTTTTCATGTGTTTGTGTTTGGATGATTCTTTTTTCACTTCTCCCTACGTGATATCGTACAATACAGCCGCAAACCACCCATCAAAACCCAAGTAATCTTCAAACACCTCCATCCCCAAAACCTTTCCAGAAAAAGGGTTCCCATTTTCAAAAAATCCCCAGTTCGAAATACAGACGAATAGAAGCTACTCCATACAGAATCCCCTTCCCGTCATGACATGAATAAAACACACGGGTCATAAAAGTATATAAGAAAAAGAGAAATATATAGTTCGATATAAAAATACAAACGCTAGCCACCAGTGTTGCCTCATCAAGGTCAATGATAATCGTTAGCAGAATCGTAAAAGAGTTCTCGGTCCCATAAATTGCTGATCCATAAAAGAAAACTGGGCGTAGGTTCGCAGGTGGTAAAATGAATTGACTGTTATCCGAAACGTTCGTATGAAAATGGAGCCCGGGTATTCGAGGGCCAATGTTAGTGGTATCATGGCCGTAATCATTAAAGACATCGATGCGAAAGTTGGTATAAGAAAGCTGAATATTAGAACATTAAAGATATCGTTGAAGGCATGATGCTGAGACACGTACATCACAACCGTGAGTGCGATCGTAATTGGCGTAAAGTCTACAATGTGTCTGGTAAAATAGTCGTGCGAAGGAAATCCCCTTTTGTATGCGTATCCAGAGAAAATCAAGATCTCGTAGTCGCATTTCGAATTGGTCGTCGTTAAAACTGTACAAGTCCAGAACAATATAATCTAACCCTTCCAATGGTTCCCATCAGGTCTTAGCCTCAGTTGGTGGTTTGGTAGGGGTCGCAACCTCGGGTCGTGCCTCTTCCTGGGCAGCCTGAACAATCTGTGGTATTGGCGCAACTTGATCGGATTGAGGAGCAGCTCCTTGACTTTCTTGTGGTGGACCCGACAGCAATTCCCCAGGAGGTAAAAATTTGGGAGAGTATTGTGGTTCCTGCATATGCCCTTGTGCTGTATGAGAAATCATTGAAGGAAATGTACTCTGCCCAGCGCGGCTTGCTGCTGCTTGTGTCTGGGTTGCCTCATTATCCAATATTTCGTTAATCTTGCTCACTTTTGGTTTGATAGGCGCTCGCGGTCGTTTTTTCTTGCCAGCTGAATCAAGCATACTACGCTCCGTTTGAAATTGTCCCCCCATGCTTTGATCAATCGATGGGCCAGCGCCGGTCAGTGGCGCCAGTACTGTAAGGCCTCTTGGCTCGTCCCTCATAGTTGGTTTGAATGGGGGCTTCGGTGTCAAGGTCCTCGTCCCAGGCGCAGCAGACGTTTGTAAAATGTCTCCTCTTGCAATCGCTTCCTGTTGCCTCAATTCCACATCCGCTTTGGACGGTCGACCTCGTTTCTTTGGTACAGCAGAAGCTGGTCCTGGTCCTGGTCCTGGTGAGAATGCATGATGAGGGGAACCATTTGCGGATGTCGGTTTCGGAAGTATATCCCGGGTGGTTGACATTATAGTATCTGGTCCAGATTGGCGTCTCTTTGGAGCGGGGTCGGTCATGAAATGATCAACAGAGTCGGGTCCAGATTTGCGCTTCCCAGTGTGGGAAATACTCGGTGGGGGCAAGGAATGGTATGAAGACCGCTGACTGGATTGTATGGAGTGAAACGCGTCGACACATGATTGCAGACTCCGTCCTAGATGACATGTCATTAATGCTACTGTTCTTGCGGAGATATGAACGAATTTGACGTTGGTGTATGGACGGGAGATTCATGGGCAAGGCTTGGAAATGTCCCAGGTTCAAGATGTCGGAGAATTCATGATCAACGTACCTTCAGGGAGAACCATATGGAACCAGTTTGGCGTAAGTGGTCCATTAGCATTGATACCATTCTCGTTGAGGATGGTTAATAGCCGTTCTATTGGGATGGTGCTAGCCTTGAGAGCATCGGCCACGATGCTACGTTGTAGTGGAAGCTCGTTGAGAATGGCGAGCAGCCTGTCATTTGGAATTGGGCTTTGCTTCAATGCTTCGGCCAGAACGTTGCGCTGTGAGAATGGAAGTTAGTATTAGACGCGAGTGACGAGGATGGCAGTGGTACAGATCAGGTCAGGCATGCGCCGCGAGTGATAGTGATGCGCTCTGCAGCTCTGGATGACCTGCATTTGATATAGGAAAGGTCTACGGGCCTGGGATGATGACATACCTTTTCCTCGTCAGAGAACGGGCGATTCCCTTCCATCGTCGCGCCGGATTGGGTGTGCTATAGGAAAAGAGGGTTCCGGCGCAGAAGGAGCGGTTGCCGTTGTGGTGGCAGATTCAAGTGGAGTGGAGTGGAGTGTACGCAACCAGGGAACAACGAGCGTAGAGAAGACAGAGACAGAGACAGAGACAGGCGCAAAAGTGCGGTTATTAGAGGTCATTAAGTATGCTTCGTGGGGTCTATTTCCTATATCACAACGGGGTGGATTGACGAAAAGCTAGAGAGCGTGGTCGTGTGTGGTCGGGGGCAAAAGAAGGTCGAGTCGTTGGCCAAAAAGAGGGTAGAAAAGAGAAGGCTGCATAAGGTAGAAGCGCGCGATAGAAGGGGGGAGGAAAGGGGGGAAGAGCGAGAGAGCGAAAGAGTGGCCTGGGGGGGG